CCCCAAAACCCCAAAACCCCAAAACCCCTTAAATATCAGACCAAATTGAAAAATTATGCATAATTTTCGATACAGTGGAATATTTAGCAATGAAGTTGGAGTTTATGGACTCAAGCAAGATGACTGAGCCTTCTATTTCTTTTCCTGCACCATTCTCTAAGTTTTAGTGAATATTGATAACTATTATTTGTGAAAAAAAATTTCATTAACCTGTCCAGAGATTACTAGAACCCAGAAATTATGACAGCGAGACACGTGTTGAGTAATACAGTCTAATTTCGGAATGAAATCTATGCTTAAAGTGCTGACAGTGAAGATGGCCAAGTTTGGCATACTAGTCCTACTTGTATTCCTACTCTCTGTTAGCTATCAACAAGCATAAACTGGAGAAATGATGAAAGAATTTGATCCTTATGAGATCTTAGAGGTATCTCATGATGCAAATTTAAAAGCAATTAAGAACGCTTTCCGTACAAAAGCACTAAATACTTTGATTCCTGACAAGCGACCCAAAGATCCTTATTTTAAAGAAACTATCGACTAGCTGCTGAAGCTTATATCATCTTGACTGATGAAAATGCCAGAAAGGATTATTCCAAACATGGCATTCTTAACGAAACTGTTATTATCAAAGTAGCTATCGGGCTTCCTTCTTTCATGGCCCAAGAGGAGTATCAAACAATGTCTCTCTGAATATCATTCCTGTTCATCTTGGTCTTGATCCCACTAGGGTTCTTCTACTGGTATTCTAACTCCTACACCTGCACTGGCACTGGGCTGAAGGAGGATGACAGAAGAAGGTACGCACAGGTTCTTAATGAAATGATGAGTTTCCAAGATTTCTTGAAAGTTCAGAATCTACAACATAGAGCTGATCAAGAAAACCCTATGTTGAAGAGGGAAAGCTGAGAGAGGAAGAGACTGAGATTTGGTGGAAATAAAGCAACATGCGGTATTAATGCCCCAGTCTGCTTCGTTTTGTATATGAAGGGTATAAGGAACTGAACTAGGTTATTCAAGAGGTTCTAAGTCTTTTTTATATTTTGTATCAAAGATTTGCATTCCCTTGTCTAAATTCTCAGAATAAAGAGTTTATTAAGAAGATGTTCTAAAATATTTATACTTGCATTAGGTGTCTAAGGTATGTGCGGAGAATATTGGGTAAGATCAGAGAGAGTTCTTTCGATCTCTTCATATCAGCACTCAAAAACTATTGGAAATTAGAAACCAATGGATGAAAAGTGCCTCAGACTCTAAAGTGACATGATAATTTTCCTTTAAATAGGAATGAAAGGTGTCATTGGAAATTTCTAGTAAGGTGAGAAAACACTAAGCAATCTGAGTGAACAGTTTTGATAGATTTAGTATGGAAGCAAATATGATAGAGTTCTAATAGTTTCCTGACTATTTCCAAATCTATTTATCACTTGATCGTTTAATATTATAAAAGAACTATTGGGTTTAACAAAAGCTTAAAATTTCAGCTCATCAACTAAAAATCGCATTTCCATTACAGTTAGGCTTCTTGAAATGACCATTTTCAACATAAAGCTGGCTGGATTAACAAAAATGCTGCCTAGCTAATACAAGCTTACAACTTCTCTCAACACAAAGGAAGAATGCATGTTGAACATTTTGTATCATACGAATTCTTACATGAACTTATCTCCAAAGTGTAGAGTTGAAGCATATCATCAAGAAGAGACATGGCAACACTATGATTCATCACCAGTTTGAAAGTCTCTCTTGTAACACTCCATATTTTCACCAAGCTGTCTTAGTCTTATGCATGACTACAAAGCAATGGCCTCAAACCTCTATTTCCGCACAAAATCTCGAGGTTTCCCTTAAAAATCTTATATTTTGGGGTTTTGGGGTTTTGGGGTTTTGGGGTTTTGGGGTTTTGGGG